TTTTTAACTTCCTGCCATAATTTTTCTTGCTGTGAGAAAATTCTGTGAAAACTGGAAAAATAGTCACTCTGTGAAATCTGAAAGGGAAAATGAACGATATTGGAAGATCTGAACAAAATCACATCTTATTACAACTATAGTTAGATGAATTAATCCATATAAGAGATATCCATCGCCAATACGACCTGAAATTGTAGATGAAATATGGACGCGTCATGCCCCATCTCGATGGCGCGCAAACGGTGTACCTATGTCGTCCATATGAGGCGCCGCGCCAACGCATATACCATGCGCAGCCGTTACCCTGTGAATTCTGTATTTTCTGATTTTTTTTTTCAAAATTCTTGAGTTTCAGAATTCGTGAATGTGTGAATTTTTAAATATCCAAATCTGAATTTGCGAAACTTTGAACTTCGGAATTCCGAATTTTTCAGAAAATTCTGAACGATTTTGCACAAAAAGATGGATTTTCGAGAACTTGCAACACTGGCCTAGAAAATCCTAGTCCACTACCACCAAAGTCCATCTCTCACCTCACAATTCTCAGCTTGCCATTCATGAAAACTTCTTGTCATCTCCAAAAAATCATCGAAATCGAGGGGGTTTATTAGGTTTCGATGATCATTTCGTTTCAGTGTCATTTCCAATAAAACACTTTTTCCCGAACCCAAATTTATATTTTTTCGAACCGAAATATCCAATGGAAATATCGATAATTTCAATTGCTCATCCGTTGATTTTCGCTCGGAAAATGTCAATTTTCGGAGAAGAGATGCTGATCTTGAGGCGCCTTTTTTATTCGATGTACCATCTTTTTTGGGATTTAAAACACCAAATTTGAGGGTGACTTCTTTTTGACTTCCGAATTCTCTGAAAAATTTCAAGAATTTTTTTGGGAGAATTGGAAAATCTGAAATTCTGACAAAACAGCATTTCGAAAACTCCAGAATTTCGAATATTTGGAAATCCAGAAAAACGAATTCTGAAATTCAAAAATTCAGAAAAGTGGCATTTCGAAAGTTTCAGCAAAAAAAATAGTAATCTTAACATTTTCTTTTTTTTAAACTTACAACTTTGTGATCCCTGTGGTTTTCAATTCTTGTTGTCTGCAAGCTTCTGGTCTGGAAAATTGAAATTTATGAGATTCGTGTCTTTTTTTAATTCCATTATTTCTTGCACTTTCAACCTTTTCCTACAACTTTGAAAATCAAAAATGTCGGAAGTTTCAGAAAAAAATATTCAGAAACTCAACAATTCAATTAATTTAATTGTGAGATATGAAATTTTCAAACATCAATTATTTTGGAAATTCCAATATCAACTGTTTTAATTTTCTTAACTATTGACAATTTGAGAATTTCGAAATTCCAAACATTTGGATATTATGATTCAGAATATCGAAAGTTCTGAAATTCCAAAAATTCAAAAAAATCGAAACTTAAAATTGTGAAAAGTCTTAAAAATCAATGAGACACCTACTCAAGAACATAAGCAAAAACATTTTCTGGGCATGTCGCTGATGTCCCATTCCCTCCAATCGGCCGTATTTCAAGAGTGAATGTTTGCTGAAAATCAACAAAAATTATCAGTGATAACTATTTTTCTTTATGACTCACAAATTTTTCGCACTTTTTTCGCAGCTGACCGAGATGATCTCTGATTTTAAAGATCTGAAAATATTTCTTTTCAGAAAAAAAATAGCTGAAACAGAAGAAAATTCCAAACAAACTTCTGAAAATCGATCGATAATCGATTCCAAATGAATCGGGTCTTCACCGAAGCTGATTGAAAGTGCCGAACAAATCGATTCCAATGACTCTTCTCTCATTTTGAAAAATAATGAAAAAAAAATTCTGAAAAATTGTTTGGCGGCGAAATTTACAGCAAAAAAAGAGGAGAAAAACTGATAAGGAAGGGTGTAAAACGAGAATTTTAAGAGCAAAAGACCTCATGTTAATCACACATCATTTATCGTTTTTCTTCTCCTTTTTTTCTTGACTGAAAATGTTTTTAAATTTCCAAATTTCAAAATTTCAAGATTATTTGAAATTCTGAAATTCAGTAACTCAGTAAAGCTGAATTTTCAACTTTTGATTTGTTTTTTCTTGTCTAAAATTTGAAAAAAAAATTTCCATAAGTTGCTTTTCCGTCAAAATTCATGAATTTCTACTTTCAATTTTAGGACCTCTGCATCTGGCAGATTCTAATTTTTAAGAATTTTCGTTATTTTTTTTGGAATTTTAGAATTCGCAAGTTTAGAGATTTCTGGATTTCGTAATTCAATCGAAATTTGGAATTTTTTGAAAAAAACAGGTGATACATTTTGTAGTTGGCTATCTCCAGATTTTCAGAAAATCAAACTTTCAAAATCTGAACAATCGGAATTTCTGATTTTTCGAATTTCAGAAATTCGGTAATTCAGTGATCCTGTATATATATATATATATATATATCAATATCAGAAACCTCATCAACATTTGTGATTTTTTGAAAATATAAAATTCGAAATTAAATTTCAACTTTGATGGTTAAAATACTGTGAAATCCCGGAATTTCAAGATTTACAAATTGCAAGTTTTTGAAATATGGAGCTGGACCTGAAAGACTCAATGTATTTTTGAAATTTCAGAATTTTCATTTCTGTTCTGGATTTATTCAATTCGTGAATTTACTACATAATTCCTGCAATTCTGATAGCCCAATTTTTTGCATTTTTGAATACCACATTTCAGAGTTTAGAAACTTTTCAATTTTAAAATTTCTGAACTTCAGATTCTTATAATCTGAAAATCTGAAATTTATGAATTTAGAGATTCTGATATTTCCAGAATTTCAGAAAACCTAATCTTTGAAACGGTGGTTTTTTTTTTTGAAAAACGGAATTTCCGAATTTCAAATTTTCAGCTCTTCTGAGTTTCAGAAGCTTAGGAATTCCTAAAAATCAAAATTTCAGAATTTCAGAAAACGAAAACATCCAAAAACGTTTAAAATATCTTAAAAATAAAACCGTTGACAAAATTTCCAAAAAGTG